TATAAAATGTTTCAGAAGAAAATTACAGTGCACTTGTAACTAGAGTCTAGCTTTGTCCATAGTTTCAGTTTAAGGTATTTTGTGAGTCAATAAAATGTGGAAAAAAATTAAAAAAAAATTAAACAACAACAACAAAGACATGTAAGAGACACAAGTATGGAAAGTTATTGTGTAGAGTATTATCTTTGACTTGCTTGACATCCAATGTATTTATGTTTTGAGAACCAATGTTGTATGCTATAAAGATGTATAATGATTAAATGTAAATTAAAAAAATAAATAAATTACCTAAAAAAATCTTTAAAAATATCTAAACCCAATGAAGCTATTGGTAAGGGGGAAGGATAATATCATTATAATGCATAGCATATAAGTCTTAAAATATTTATCTGTAAATACCCTTTCCCAGAATGTTTCTGGAGGATACACTCCATCAAAACAAGGGAATAAAGCAAGTAAACCTAGAAAGAACAACATATGGGATTGGCAAACAGGAAATGAAACACAAGGAAGAATCATAGCAAATTCTAGGACGATATAAAGGGGTATCCCAGAATTATTGTTGTACCCCAGGTGTAGAGGGCAAAAAAAACTGCTGATAAAGGTCTGACAATACATGTTCTAGAAAAGTGTAAGTTACCATATTTGTGTCTCCTCTTCCCTAGAGAGTGAATTGATAGGTACAGTAAAAATCACCGGAATCCATAATTGAAAAGATATCTTTTTTTAAATAGATTTTTGCTATAGGGCACATACACTCACCAGAGAGACAAAGACAGAAAGATAGACTGCGAGAAATCACCTCCCAGGGGAAGATGGGAAGGTGGCCATGCTGCAACTCCTTTTCCTCCATTCTCCTCTCGGCATCATGGGCATGCATGTACACACTGTCTGCGTGAGTTTTGAGCTGCAAGGTCCAGGACTCAAACTGTGGTTGACTACGTGGGAGTCCAGCAATGAACCATTATGCCATCTGCTGGTCCCTGAAAAGATATCTTCAGTGATGATGTGCGTACTGAGACACCCATTCCCAACATGAATGTCTGTGTGGAATTCTGGTATCCCTCTCTTAACCAACATCTTGGAAAGGTTTGCTGATTCCTAGTCTGTATACAGAGACAACAAAATCCACCACAAAAGATTTTCCGTAGGGGCATATGTATATGTCTGTATGTATGCACACAGACTGTCTCTTGAGAGATACAGATGAAGTTGGCGGTGTGATTGTAAGAGAAGCATATGACTAGTAGGGGGTGCTTGGGGGAGACTATTCACTATTTATCTTTTATTACTTTCTAATATTGTGCGGTGCACATTATATTATTTAAAGAGGGATAAAATGAAAGGTAGTTCTTAGAAACAACATAAATAAACAAATAAATGTATTTTTATAAATAAATTTATAAGTGCTAACATTGCTTGAAAAAGAGACTTATCTCCTTACCATTTTAAAATATTCACTACTTCCTCTTTTTTTAAAAAAGAATTATTTATTTAATTTTATTCATTATTATTTTAATTTGGCCAGAGAAAGACAGAAAGAGGAAAAGTGAGAGCAAGTCACTGGGTCTGGGACTCAACCCTTAGTCAGCCATGTTGGAGTCTAGCACCTCAACTACCATGCCACCTGCTAGCCCCGTATTTCCTCTTTTTTTGTAACATTAGATTACTTTTTTCCCCTTTAGGTTCAAATTTAAATTGTTTTTGTTTGGGAGAAGAAAAAGGTTAGTTTTTCGTAGTACTTGCCAAATACAAATAACACGGATTAAGAATTCGTAGAGGCTGAATAATTAATGATATGAATGATGGAACTTCTCTTGTTCCACAGGAGTAATTCTATAGTTTTAGAATGCCCCCTAGTAAATGTAATAGAATTCAAGTAATTCTAAACTTGAAAACCTTGCTCCATCAGGATCATATTTTCAGTATTAATTACCTGGTGGTCATACCGTGGGAAGATGATTGCTTTGGCATTGACAGGGCAAAAGCTGAAGCTGAAAGTTCAATGTATCTGCTCAGTTCTGTACTAATGTTTGTATTTTCAGGTCCTTGACTCATACATATTATATAATTGTTGTTCTGAAAGTTAAAAAAGGCATGGTTAACTTTCACTTTGAGGAAAGATCTTTATAGAAGATGATTGTCATTTGAATTCTGATGTTTTTCCTTACGTTGTCATCTATTATGTCTTGTTTCTTATATATTGTACTATTTCTTATTCTACTCTGCTTCCAACTTGTTGAGGCCTGAAATAGAAGTCTGTGGCCATTTACTCAGAACATGCAATACCTGCAGCATTTCCAAAAGTACCATTAGTATGTGGCAAGATGGGAGGAAGGTATTGTCCTGTGTAAAAGGGATTTAGGAGTCAAGCCTATGGCTTTTAACTCCTGGTTAAGGGATCCAGATTCCACATGACCAACCACATGGTCCAAATCCTAGCCCTGACAGCTTGAAAAACACTCTGGGTGCATGTGTGTGTTTGCTCCAAATCCCAGCAACATGGAGAAATAGAGAAGGGATTGTAGCGTGACCATACCCCATGAAGGATGCTTTCTCCCTCTCCCTCTCCCTCCCTCCCTTTCTCTCTCTCTCTCTCTCTCTCTCTCTTTCTGGTGAGTACACATGCCCTTGGGCAAATTTAAAAAAACAGATTTAGAATGTAATGGTTATCATACATTATCGTTGATGAGTGTTGTTCTATGACATGAATGTGTTATGTGCTAAGTAACCCAAGTAAGGAGTTAAGTTGGCAAATACCAGTAGATTTTCAAGTAGAAGAAAGGGGGATCCTTGAAAATAAGAATAGAGGGACCAGAAGATGGCATAATTGTTATGTCATTGGTCTCCCATGTAGTCGACCACGGTCTGAGTCCTGGACCTGGTGGCTTAAAACTCAGTCCAGGCGCGTGTGTATGTGTGCCTAGAATCCCAAGAGGAGAATGGAGGAGAATGGATTTTGCTGTGGCCATCCTTCCTAGGGGGGTTATTTCTTACCTTCTGTCTCTCTGGCTAGCACACACGCCCTGTAGCAAAAATCTCTTTAAAAAAAAAAAAGAGAAGCAGTAGAAAGGAGTTGATGCCAAACTAATTTAAGAAAGCATGATATTGGGGTTCCTTGGTAAAATTAAAAAAGTTAACTTAGGACGCTGAGTCACTATGACATACTCTATGCATTTCTCTGTTTCTTTGAAAAAGACACCGTTGGCTTTTCTAAACGTCCTAAATTTCCTTAAGTAGACATTTATTGGCAGTTTTGATTTTTAAGAGGAAAATGTTAGGGACCAGCAGTTAGCATAATGGCTATGTCGCTGAACTCCCGTGTAATCGTGGCTTAAAACTCACGCCGGGCACATGTGCTTGTGTACCCAAGATCCCCAGAGGAGAGTGGAGGAGAAGGGATTGCGGCGTGGCCATCCCCCCTGGGGAGTGATTTCTTGCTTTCTGTCTCTCTCTCTCTGTCTTTCTGGTGAGCACATGTGCCCTATAGCAACAAAACCTCTCAAAAAAAAAAAAAAAGAATTTTATACTGTAAATCTAGAAGGTGGTCACAATTGCATGACAACAGGAAAGATAGCTAGTGTGATGTCCTTTCAAAAATACTCGGAGAAGATGAATACTGTTTAGTGCAAGAATGGGGGAAGAAGGATCTTTCACAGGGTATATCCCAACATGAGTTTGCAGTGTCACAGATTGGAGACTGGTGGGTAAACATTTGTGTTGAAAGTAACAGAAAGCCTGACATAAACCAGCTAAACCAAAAAATGTAATTTATTGCCTCATTAGCAGAAAAATCCAGGCTAAAACTGGATTCTGGAGCTTGATTATTGAGTTGTGGCTTCTTTCTACCTCTTGGTCTGTTCTCAGCCGTGTTGACTTCTTGTCTAGATTGTGGGGGAACCTGAGCCCAATCATCGTGATCCCAATCCAATAGCAGAGGGAGTCTACATCCCTATGCTTACTCAGAAGTCTTCAGAATTGTGTCTTCTTGCTTTGATTGGTCTGATCTGAATCATATGCCCATACTTAAGAGTCTCTTGGAAGGAAGGAAGGATTGTATTGTGTTGTCATTGTGTCCACAGTGGTTAGTGCAGGGTGTTACACAGTATAAAGCAGGCCCTCAAAATGCAGATGTTATACCAAACTGTAAGCTACTCTTCAGAAAGTAGCCAGTTTACACTGGAAGATCTAATATGATATATTCCAGCTTTTAATTCTGATTTCTTCTTTTTTTTTTCTCAGAGTTGTTGGGTAAACTGATATAATTAACAAAATTCAAGAACCTGAGACTTTGTACCTGAGTATTATCAGGACTCTGTCAGACTTCATAGTGTAGTTCAGGAAATAATCAAGAAAGTACCCTAAATCTCATTATTGTTCTAACATAATAGGGGATCTATTAAGAGATCAACAATCTTTTGGCAGAAACAGTTTGAATTTTCTCTGAATCGTACCAAGCAAGAGTAGGAAATGTGAGAACAAAAATGATAGTTGGAAAAGAGAGGATTTGAAGATCATGCCATTATAGAGAGGAAGAAAGAAGTTAGTGATGTTAAAATTATTTTTTCGCACTGGTGACAAAATATTAACGACATACATTATGGTCTTTAAACAAATGTTGCTTGAAATTCATTTTGTAGAGAAGTTGAATATAAGTGGTCTGATGGTATATACAATTTCTACAAAGTCTATTAAGAGAAAAAGTCCAGAGGAGAGTGGAGGAGAAGGGATTGCGGCGTGGCCATCCCCCCTGGGGAGTGATTTCTTGCTTTCTGTCTCTCTCTCTCTGTCTTTCTGGTGAGCACATGTGCCCTATAGCAACAAAACCTCTCAAAAAAAAAAAAAAAGAATTTTATACTGTAAATCTAGAAGGTGGTCACAATTGCATGACAACAGGAAAGATAGCTAGTGTGATGTCCTTTCAAAAATACTCGGAGAAGATGAATACTGTTTAGTGCAAGAATGGGGGAAGAAGGATCTTTCACAGGGTATATCCCAACATGAGTTTGCAGTGTCACAGATTGGAGACTGGTGGGTAAACATTTGTGTTGAAAGTAACAGAAAGCCTGACATAAACCAGCTAAACCAAAAAATGTAATTTATTGCCTCATTAGCAGAAAAATCCAGGCTAAAACTGGATTCTGGAGCTTGATTATTGAGTTGTGGCTTCTTTCTACCTCTTGGTCTGTTCTCAGCCGTGTTGACTTCTTGTCTAGATTGTGGGGGAACCTGAGCCCAATCATCGTGATCCCAATCCAATAGCAGAGGGAGTCTACATCCCTATGCTTACTCAGAAGTCTTCAGAATTGTGTCTTCTTGCTTTGATTGGTCTGATCTGAATCATATGCCCATACTTAAGAGTCTCTTGGAAGGAAGGAAGGATTGTATTGTGTTGTCATTGTGTCCACAGTGGTTAGTGCAGGGTGTTACACAGTATAAAGCAGGCCCTCAAAATGCAGATGTTATACCAAACTGTAAGCTACTCTTCAGAAAGTAGCCAGTTTACACTGGAAGATCTAATATGATATATTCCAGCTTTTAATTCTGATTTCTTCTTTTTTTTTTCTCAGAGTTGTTGGGTAAACTGATATAATTAACAAAATTCAAGAACCTGAGACTTTGTACCTGAGTATTATCAGGACTCTGTCAGACTTCATAGTGTAGTTCAGGAAATAATCAAGAAAGTACCCTAAATCTCATTATTGTTCTAACATAATAGGGGATCTATTAAGAGATCAACAATCTTTTGGCAGAAACAGTTTGAATTTTCTCTGAATCGTACCAAGCAAGAGTAGGAAATGTGAGAACAAAAATGATAGTTGGAAAAGAGAGGATTTGAAGATCATGCCATTATAGAGAGGAAGAAAGAAGTTAGTGATGTTAAAATTATTTTTTCGCACTGGTGACAAAATATTAACGACATACATTATGGTCTTTAAACAAATGTTGCTTGAAATTCATTTTGTAGAGAAGTTGAATATAAGTGGTCTGATGGTATATACAATTTCTACAAAGTCTATTAAGAGAAAAAGTGACTTGACCCAAGTTTAGACTTACTTGTTTTATCTACTACAAAAGCTTGATCTTCTGAGTTTAATAAAAAATAAAGGCAGTTCCCAAAACTAGATGTTTAGTGTGATAGAAGAAAATGTATCTAGTTACTCAAAAAAAAAAAAAAAAAAAAAAAAAGAAACTACTCAGCATTTGTGTAATTATGCCTGTCTTCTAATGGAACTTCATTTTCAAAGCTTTTTTCATCTTTTAACGTCTATGGAATGCCAACTTTGCCCCAGCAACTTTGCTCACAGTGTGATAAGATCAAAGTAAAGGAAATTCGGTTATCAGTGATGTCATAGAATCTGAGGCATTTCCAGTCATGCTTGTTTGTTCATTTTACATAATCCCAAACTCACTGATGTGGACCAATTTAAAATGAATTTACTTACTTAAACACAAAATCTTGAGGCTCTAATTGCCTGGGAAAATGTAAGAATGCAGCATTTGAGCTCATTGATCCTGACATTAAAGATGCTGTTAAATATTTAAAGTAGTTTAGACAACTGTAATGTCATTTAAATGACTGTAATGTTTATCAGAATAAGAAGGTGCAGACTTTTAGGAGGCTTATAACTATGCAGTTTTACTATGGTGTTGGCTATTACGCATATGTTTTAAATGTTTGAATACTTGGAAGTATGTAGCGTAAGTGACCTGTCACGTGTTTCAAGATGGATATGTGTACTTCGTAGGAATACAATGTAAGAGGCAGTGTAGTGTCATTACTGGGTAGGAAGTCTGGTGACAGACTTCTGGATTCAAATCCTGCCTAGTCACTTACTTGGCTGATTAACACTGCATATATTAACTAACCTGTCAGTGCCTTAGTTTTCTCAGCTATAAAATGGAGTTAGTAATACTGTGAAGGTTAAATGTGTAAATGTGTGAAATACTTAAAACAACCCTGTGTAAATGTTTACTGTTAAATTAATTTCTAAAGGTCATTATAGTTTTTCCTTAGGATGCATGGAATCTCTTTTTTTTTTATTTAAGAATTTTTCATTTAATTTTGTTATTTTTTAATTTAGCCAGAGAGAGAGCAAGCGAGCGAGAGAGAGACAGAGAGAGACAGAGAGAGAGCGAGTGGGAAAGGGAAAGTGAGAAAGCAAACCGTCAGGTCCAGGACCTGAACCTTGGTTAGCCATGTGGAGGAGTCCAGCCCCTTAACCACCATGCCACCTGCTGGCCCTTCTTTCTTTCTTTATTTTTTAATAATCATTTTATTTAACTTTATTTATTTATTTAAATTTGACCATTTGGTAAAGAGTGTTAGATAGCTCATCTAATTATTGAATACTGAGGGTTGAAAGCAATGATTATATGGGTACTTATGTTTTCTGCTGTGTATAAAGTGCTTTCATACCATTATGAAGTTGAAAAATCATTAAATTAGGCTGCATTAAGTTGGGGATGTCTGTAGTAAGTTCATGCACGTGGCTTTGAAAATTTTAGTAGTTAACTTAAAACTACAAATATGGCCTTTTGTGTATTCTAGAAGTATGCTCTGGGACATACTTCTCACACTTTCTTCCCCTTCTAGGCCAGTGCTTTGCAAAGTGTATCCCAAAGATGCATAAGAATGAATAGGTGTGCTTTTTAAATGCCATTTCTGGTGCCTCCACCCTAGATCAAAATTTCTGAGATGGGAATTTACCATTTAACAAATGCCTAATTCAATTCTGTTTTATTTTATTTTTAAATACCATGCACCTTCCATTAACTTTTTGAAGATCGTGTATTTCTGTTGTTTTTAGGTTTTTGCCTTAGGGTACGTGAGCTCACTGGAGAGACACAGAGACAGTGAGAGGGAAAGTACGAAATCAACCCTCAGGGCATGGTCATGCTGCAGTTCTTTCTCTTTCAGTCTGCCATTGGGATTCTGGGCATGTGTGCATATGCACCAGGGATGATGCAGGACTTGAAACATGGTTGACCATGTGGAAATCAGCCCCTTAACCACTATACTACCTGATGGCCTCTGAGTTAATTTTTATGTGCGACAGATTTTGGGAACAGTTCTCAGTTGTTCGTAATTCCCTCTTCTCATGCTGTAATTTCCCTTTCACTCTTTGAACATCAGATGTTTGAGTACACTTTTCCACACTCAGTAATTGATAAACAGAGGTTTATTTACTGCCCTGCTTTGGAGGTTCAGGTTCAAAGAGCTGCATCTTGTGAGGATCTTCTTGCAGGTGGGACTCTGCAGAGTTCTGAGGCATCACAGGGCGCCATATGGTGAGACAGATCAAGAGCATGTCTGTGTGTCTGCTCTTATAGTTACCAGGAGTCAGTCAGTCACACGGATGACCTCGTCCAATCCCGATTACTTCCCAAAGACCCCATCTTTCAGCACCATAATGTGATGAAGTTTCCACTTTCTCCACACAGGAATAGTGGCTCACCGGGTTTTAACACATGAATGTCTGAGAGACACATTCATACCAGATGTTTTACTTTCAAGCTCTAGGTTCTATGACATCACCTGTTCAAGGGATTGAGGTTTTTCTATCAAAATCACTGTAGACCAAAGTTGGTCTTTTTCTTTCACAGCCAAAGCCCAGGTTACTCTCTTCTCACCCCTCCATTCTGTATTCTCTGCATGGGCTCTAGTTCATTTCTTTCCTAGTATTTGTCATAAGGGGATATGTGAGTGGAACCATTCTGGCTTTAGAATTCCCAAAAAGATGTTCTCCAGTTGGCTTTCCTGTAGCTTAGATCTATCTGCTCCCAGTCATGGAAGTATGGTTAAGCATGTCTCCACCATATTTGCTCTTTCCAATCCCTTTCTCTCACCTTTTCTACTTTCTTTCTTTTCATGACTATCTCTGGATTAGACGCCAAGGGATAGTTTGCAGCTGTTGAAGGAGACTGACTTATTTTTTCTCCCAAGTCTCTTAGCTGCATCGCAGACTTGCCTGAAGAGAAGGGACAGATGCAGAAAATGTCCTAGTCCTCCGTAATCTCTGCCCCTTTTGGCTTAAGACCTCTTTCTGGACTCCATCAGACCTCTGCTTCGCTTTCTATGCATTTTACAGTCAGAAAGTGTGAGAGACAGCAGTGTGCATTCTCGGACTAAATACACCTGACTGTGAAAAATGTCATTTAAATCCTAAAATATATCAGGAGCTCCTGTATTTGGTGATTCCTAAGTATGGAGCCATGTGTAGCCATGTGGAAATACCACATACATGAACATTATATTACTTCTTGGCCAAGGTAAAGATTAATAGACATTTTGGCTCACAGAGCACATAATACAATTCTCCTTTGAGATGCATGAACTTGTTATGTTCATGTGGCTGATCACATAGATCCACTGGAATCTTAATGATCCGTGAGAGAAATTGTTCACATTATTTTTAGCAGTACATCTGCATTACAAAACATCAGTGCTTTCAGGAGGCCACTGTGCGGTTGTGCTTTTGAAAGCACTTGAATCACACGATGCCGAAAGTAGGAACAATATTGATGACTAGTGAACACACACATATTGTATTAAAGTGAAAACGATAGAAGTTAAGGAAAAGTAGAAAATACACACGTTGCCACCTTTGCTTATTTTAAAGCAATGTGGACGTTTTCTAAGAAGTGGTAAGTGCCAGTAAGTTCTGGAAGTTTACTTCTCCTTAGAAAGGATTAGCAGTTCCTTGCAATAACTGAAAATTAAAAAAAAAAAATTCTCAAATACTATAAATTAGAGAAGAAAGACTCAAACCAAGAAATCTATTTATTGCTACAGCTTTAGCTTCATCTGTTTTAGTTTTGTCTGGTATTTTCCATTCTCATTTTGTAAAAGGTAGGGTTTAGGGTCAGCCATGATCTGGGCTTAACCAAGGCAGTTGGATTTCACATGAGTAACCAGGTGGTTTAAGTCCCAGAGTAGGCAGCTTGAGAAACATGCCAGGCTATGTGTGTGCTGTGTGCCCTAAATTCCAGGACTGCAGTGTGACCATCCCCACGAGGTGCTGTCTGTCTCTGGTGAATGCATGCATCTGCCCTCTGGCAAAAAAAAAAAAAAAAAAAAAGCTTAGATTTAATTTCCATGTTGCTGCTTAGGTTTTCCTTAGATCAAAGTATATATATCAATCATTTTTCTTTTCTTTTTCTTTTTCTTTTCTTTTTTTTTTTGAAAGAGAGAGAGAGAGAGAGAGCGAGAGAGAGAGAGAGAGAGAGGGGGAAGCACCACAGTCCCCTTCCCCGAACTTCTCGCTAGTCAGGGTCTTAGATGCATGTACAGTAGTGGGTTAGGTTGACTTGGGATCCAAACCTGCTATTGGGTGTGTGGCTTCCAGCACTGTAGATCAGTATGCTACTGCTTACACTACATGGCTGCCCCCCACTCCCCTTTTTAAAGTATATTTTATTAAGAGAGAGACAGAATAAATGTAAGAAATTAATTTCACAAGTAAGTCTAACTTAACTATTATCTTGGTATAGAAACTGAAGAACAAGAAATAGCTGTAAGTAGAAAAATGAGAACTATAAGAAGAGACTCTGATTTTTTAAGTTTTGTCATATGGCCCATGTGCTTGTCAGAGAGAGACAGAGAAAGAGAGATGGAAAGTGAGAAGCACCCCCCACCCAGGGGGGAATGGCCATGTCATAGTCTCCTCTCTTCTATTCTCCTCTTGGGATTTTTGGGCATACATGCTCATGTGCCACATGTGTCTTTTTTTAAACCAGTGGGTCCGGCACTTGAACCCACACTGTTGGCCATGTGGCATCCAGCTGCCTGAATCACCATGACCACCATGGCACTGACTGGCCCAGAGGTTGTACACCTGTCATCACACATTTGAGTTGGATAGCTTAATAGTTGATGTTTTTCTATCTTAGTTATTTGCCATCTCACTATTTACTGTGTATTTATATTTGTAGACAAAAAAAATCTAAGAAAATGTATTAGGTATGTTTCATTAATATTTCTCTCTCTCTTTTTTGTAGGGATGCCCTCTGCATCTGTTTTAGTAAATCTTCTTTCAGTTTTACTCATCCCTTCTGTGTTTGGAGAAACAGAAATAAGGTTTGCTGGACAAACAGAATTTGTCGTTAATGAAACAAGTACAACAGTTATTCGTCTTGTCATCGAGAGGGTAGGAGAGCCGGCAAATGTTACAGCAATCGTATCGGTAAGAAATGATTGCACTTACATTCTTACTGAAATAGGTATGAAATTTCTTAGTTTCAATAGCAAGATTTTTTTTTTTTCTGTTTTGAGATTTTGAGTAGATTCATTATGGTAACATGATTTGCAAATAGCACTTTCATTCATGTCGCTTATAAGTGCAGAGTACTTCAAAGAAGCCATGTGCATTTGATAACAATATTTTAAAGATACATGTAGATCATTTAAAAGTGTTCATATATTTATTTTAAAACAAGAATATTTTATCTTGGGTAATTTGGGTTGTAACCATTTCTTTTCAGATATCTATTCATAGTGTAGTTTAGAGAAAAATAGGGAATATTTTAAAGTAGAAAACTGTCCATAGAAAAAAATCTGAGTTATGTGGGAAAGCTCTTCTGGGCTAAAGTAAGTACATTAAGTAGAAATGACATAAATTTGTTAAACTATTGATCTGTCTTTCATACAGTTTAGTTATTGGGTCTAGATTATGTATGCACAGGTGTTTGTTTTTTGTCAGAAAGTCATGTTATATAACCATTACAGATATTGTTGTATTTCAGGTTCAAAGTACTTGAAATTTTGTTTGCAAAATGAAGTTTTAAGTTATAGGTTAAATGATCACATTATGAAACATTGTAAAAATAGAAAAAGAAGAAAAACTACCTAGAAAACACATTTAATATTATAATATTATACATTGCTCTCAGTTTTTATTTAATTTATAACATATGACCTATGTTTATTAAATTTATTTTTAATTTGAGTATACAGTGTATGCGATAATCTTTTTCTTATAATTTTGGCTGTGCTCTGATAATTTTTTAGGTTATTTTTATCATTTTTACAACCTTTCTTGATAGCATTGTTTCTACTTCCTCATTTTGCTTCAGCTATTTTTCATTGACATTACTTGCAGGTTTTGCTGTTATTTTGATGAAACTGTTTACATGTATGTCAATTTTTGCCTGTTTTAGATTGTTAATTTTTTTTTTTTTCGAGAGGCTTTTGCCATAGGGCACATGTGCTTGCCAGAAAGGCAGAGAGAGACAGAGAGACAGAAAGTGAGAAATCACCCCCCAGGGGGGATGGCCGCGCTGCAATCCCTTCTCCTCCATTTTCCTCTTGGGATCTTGGGCACGCATGCACATGCACCTGGCATGAGTTTAAGCCACCGGGTTCGGAACTTGAACCACAGTTGACCACATGGGAGTTCAACGACTTAGCCATTACTCCAACTGTTGGTCTCAAATTTTTTTTTAAAGACTTTTGCAATAAGTACATGTTCTCGCCATAGAGAAAGAAAGTGAAAAATCATCCCTCTGGGGAAGGGGCAGGGAGACGGTCATGCTGCAGTCTCTTTTTCTCTATTCTCCTCTTGTGATTTTGGGCACATGTACATACACGCCCAGTGTGATTTTCATTCCACCAGGTCTGGGACTTGAACCATGGTCAACTATGTGGGAATCCAGCTCCTTAACCACCATGCCACCTTTTGGCTCTGTTAAATTATTTTTATAGATTGGATTACTCTGGTTTTCTGTTTGTTTCAGTGGCTCTTGATAGTGCTTTTGAAAGACTGTGCCATTTGCCATAGTAAGGTATGAGTATGGGTTTTCCAACCCCCTTGACAACTCACTTGGATTTCTCATGTGTTTAAAATTTAATTTACTTCTATAAATGAAACTAGAAATTGACTAAGATTTTTCTATACTTGTCCATCATTTTTAAAATGAAATCATATACATATATTTTTTCTAAGTAGCTAAATTATTCATGTTGAGCTCTTTAATGAAAGAAATCTCATTTGGATTTGCATAAGAAACTGCTTCTTTGTAATTTCATAATTATTGCTCCTCTGAGAATCTTATTAGCAATGCTGATTTTACAGAATAAGATCTTTAAAAGTTAAGGAAAAGTTTATAATCACCAAGAAGTTTGGAATCCTTTAAAAATTGCATCTTTTATTGGAGTCATGGGAGAATGTAAATAAAACTTCAGATAGAAAATTTTGGAAAGATGAATTTTTTTGAAACAAATAGGGAAAATAATTGATTTTTCTTACTGTTCTCTTCTCTTTTTTTTTGAGAGGTTTTTAACCTCAAGGTGTATGTGCTTGCTGAAGAGAGACAGAGACAGTGAGAGGGAAAGTGAAAAATCACCACCTCCCCCAAGGAGGATGGCCATACAATCCCCACTCCTCCATTCTCCTCCTGGCATCTTGGGCATGCATGCACATGCGCCTAGTGTGATTTTTCAAGCTGTCAGGTTTGGGAGTTGAACTGTGTCAGCCATGTAAGAGTCCAGTGACATAACTGCTTTGCCATCTGCTGGCCCAATAACTGACTTTTCTGACACCATGTTTTTGGCAGGCAACTTCCATAACATCGTTGTGAGAATCTTATCTACAGTTTGTCTTCTTGTTAGGCTTGCTGCATTATACAACTTAGAGGCAGGGGAAAAAAAAAAATCACATCATCACTTTCCTATGTAAATTGCCTTTTCATTCCCAGCATAAACAAATATTTTTGTATAGAATCCTTCCTTTTTTGAAGAATTATTTATTTAATTTTATTTATTATTATTTTAGAAGTTTGTCCAGAGAGACACAGCGAGGAGAGCGGGAAAGTGAGAAAGTGAGCCTGCAGATCTGGGACCTGGCATGGTCGGCCATTTGGGAATCCAGTGCCTTGGCCATCATGCCACCCTTGACCCCAGAGTCCTTCCTTTTTTACAAATAATTATTTTATTTAATTTTAAGCAACCCACCAGGTCTGGGACTTGAACTGTGGTTGGCCATGTGCGAGTCCAGTGCCCTTAACCACCCTTAATCATCATGCCACCTGCCAGCCCTGAGTCCTTCCTTTTTTTTTTCCTTAAGGAATTATTTTATTTAACTGTATTTATTTATTCATTTTAATTAAACCAGAGAAGGACAGAGTGAGTGAGAGAGAGAGAAAGAAAATGAGAAAGCAAGTCACCAGGTCCGGGACTCAAACTGTGGTCAGCATGTGAGAATCAAGCGCCCTAAATCAGCATGCCACCTGCTGGCTCCACAGAGTCCTTCCTTTTTAATCATGTTTTTTTTTTTTTTTTCCCCTGAAGATGATTTCTACCAGTTGTTCCATCGTTTCTGTGCATTTTATTTATAGACTTACGTGCCACTTGATTTATGCTTTTTCTCTTGATACCTATCAGGATCCGTTTTCCTTGTCCTAATTTGTGTTAAGTTAGAATGACCTGTGTTTTGCATTTGCTAGCTGTATGGAGAAGACACTGGTGACTTTTTTGACACGTATGCTGCAGCTTTTATACCTGCTGGAGAAACTAATCGGACAGTGTACATAGCGGTCTGTGATGATGACCTACCTGAGCCCGATGAAACCTTTACTTTTCACTTAACATTACAGGTAAGTCCTTCTTCCGACCTTGATGTTAAACTCACAAGAATCTTGTAAAGCTTACTTATATAGAGATAAGGCAATTCAGTGACTTGTGGTTTTCACAGTAGTGACACCTCTTTGGCAATTCCAGTCTGGTTATTCCTCAGACGGGCTTGATTGTGCAGTTCGTGTTTGGATCCCTTTGGCTTACTTCGGAATTGTTGTGACAGATGCTCAGAAAACCTTGTCTTTCCTTTGGCCCTTTTCTCTCTTACCCCTCCCCCACTAGCAGATTCACAAAGACCGACCATGACTTCTGAGTTCAGAGGAGAAAAGGAGGCATGGAAGGGAGGTCCCTGTGTCTTAGAATGCACTGAGTACCCCTGTGGAAAATAAAAACTTGAATAACCCAAGAACTAATTGAACTTTGTGGTTTGATGTATTAGGTCAAGACAGTTATTGCTAACACTGTTGCCATTACGTTTTCTGAAGAGCATTGAGTATTTTTTTAGAATAATTGTGTAAGTGTAATCAAAATTTTTATGAAAATGATACTTGTAACAATACTATTGTTACTGGTTACTTGTAACAATACTATTATGTATTATTTTTTTTTGAGAGGTTTTTGCTATAGGGCACTTGTGCTCACTGGAAAGACAGAGAGAGACAAAGAGACAGAAAGTGAGAAATCACCCCCCAGGAGGGATGGCCACACTACAATTTCTTCTCCATTCTCCTCTCGGGATCTTGGGCACGCAAGCACACGCGCCTGGTGTGAGTTTAAGCACCTGGGTCTGGGACTCGAACCATGATTGGTTACATGGAAGTCCAGAGACATAGCCATTGCTCCAACTGCTGGTTCTATTATATATTATTAATTATGTGAGTTAATGGTTTTCAAAACTTCTTTGAAAAATTCTCATGGGGATTTCTTTATCCTGCTGACTTAATTTGAATGTGGTTTTGTAACTGGTACATTGAAATTATATATGTATTTTTATTCATATTCTGAATAGTGACTTGAAGACAGAGATGCTAGTAACATGGTCATTTTTTTCCTTCTAATTTTAAATTGTCATTTTATTTGGGGGTTTTTATTTTAGAAACCTTCAACAAATGTGAAACTGGGATGGCCAAGGACCGTTACTGTGACAATATTATCAAATGACAACGCATTTGGAATTATTTCATTTAACATGGTATGGTTACAATTTGATGATCTTGTCATTACTAGAGAACAGATAGTGTCATCCTGCCTTTTAATGTTGAAATAAAAACGTGTGTCATCACTTCTCAGCCTTGGGCTATGATCAAGTGTGAATAAAACCTGCTTTATCTCAGTCCCTGTTGTACAGTCTGTGGACTGTCCGTTTGTTCTCCCTACGATTTTTGCCAATTGAGGGGGCTGATCTGATCATAGTCATCTCTTACTCTAATCTCTCTCTGCTAATCGTTCCAAGTGACTCATTTCTTACCTCCCTTGGTTAGTCTGCAGCTTAAATGTGTACCCTAGTACACATCAAGCCTCTTGCTTAATTTCCCCAAATGCCACTTAACAAAAGCATTGCCTATTTGTGCGACTCTTCTGAAAGTTTGGAGTGACTTGAGGATGAGAAGACATATCAAAAACATACTGAAGAAGTCTACATCAACCTTAAATTTGAATAGCAGACTTTTTAGCTCTTCAGAATTCCATAGTCAGTCCTCAACGTGAGATTTTTCTCATAACTAATAGTTCCAACTCATCCTTATCAGTTGTGCTTAGCAGTTTATTTTCTTTCCCTTAACATTAAATTCCTGTGCCTCTGGTCAATTCTGTGTTCAGAAGGTTTTATCTTTAGAAGCAAACACAGAAGACGTCCTCCTTGAAAGAAATTCTTTCAGCTCTTAAAATTTACCACCAGCTCAATTGGATTTGGCCACTGAGTGTTAAACTGTAACCACCTTTCTGATCTGAAGTCTTTTTGAGTTATGTATTAGTTATCATTAATACATATGATGCTATACTTCCCAGCTTTTTATTTTCCAGTTTAGGTTGTGACTACGATTAGTTGTATGTCATTTTTTTAGTATCTTAAAATTTTCTTTGAAATAAGGTAGGCAGTAGATAAATATCACCTTTATAGTTGCATAGCTTTATTAAAAGAGTATTTGGGGTGGCATGGTAGTATGGTGCTGGACTGCCACATGGCTGACCGTGGTTCGATTCCTGGAACTGGCGGCTTGAAGCTCACGCTGGTTGCATGTGCGTGCATGCCCCCGATCCTGAGAGGAGGACGGAGGAGAAAGGATTGTGGCATGGCCATCCCTACTAGGGCATGATTTCTTGCTTTCTCTTTCTCTGTTTCTGTCTCTCTGGTGAGTGCATGTGCCCTCTAGCAAAACTCTCTCTTAAAAAAAAAAAAAAGAGTATTTGGCTAACCTCAGTTTAGTAGATATTTGGTAACCTTCATTAGGTTGTTATTTGCAAATACTAATTCAATTAATTAGTCATTCCTACTTAAATGATAGGATTTATTAGTTATGAAATAGCCTCCCTTAATTGCTTAATTTCTATCTGTACTGCTTTCTCTCTCCACTCACTTCCGACTTATCATCCCTTGTACTGATTAAAGGGATTTTTTGGTGTGTCTTTTTGTTTATTTCTTTGACATCATACATCTTAGCCTCTGGGGATGAACCTTAGTTTCTGGCATTGGTCACAGGTCCCTGACTGGTATGGTCTCAGTGCCTCCAGACACCCTCTGACCTGCCTCAGGTCCTTAAATGTAAAACTGAGTAACTATTGATTTCACAGTAGGTGCTCAGTAGTCTGACTTTGGTGCCTAGCCTTCGTGAGGGTTATTTTAATAATGATGATGTTGATAACAGCCAACATTTATTCAGCCGTCATATGTGCCAGGTACGAGGAGAAAAGCGCTTGATGTGAATTATCTCAGTGAAGCTTCATCATAATCCTTCGGGACAAGCATTCCTAGCCCCATTCATGGATGAGGGTACTGAATCTTAGTGTTACCCAAGAGATGCCACTGTTCCTTAGCAGGTTTGCATTTGGCTGCTCCCCTGTCCCTTCTCTTTTCTCAGTCCCAGCTAGCCACGCCATCACACCGCAGCACTGGAAGTCCTTGTGCGTCCTTCCAACTACAGTGACCTCGTCCTGAAAATCATTAGCCGTTGTCTGCTCTTCAGTGACGAGTGGCTGAGGAGGGAAGAATGGTTGGGAGTAAGGCCCAGTGGTGGTCCCAGTGACCCGCTTCCTTGGTCTGGAAGCCTCACTCATCCTGTGACCTACCGAGCACTGAATTAGTCATCTTTCAGCTACTGGGTTTTGTTTTCTTTGTTTTACGTACAAAACATCATGTCATGACTTTCCAACGACCCAGTAGATAAGCGTGACGATTCCTCAGCAGAACAGCTAGCCAGTGGTAGAACCAGGACAAAACCTGCACTTTTTGCCTGACCCATTTTATGTTCCCTTTACACGTTAACAATTTTTTTTTTAATTTTAAGTTTTTGCCGTAGGGGGTATGCACTCTCCAGAGAGAGAGAGTGAGCGGGAAAGTGGGAAATCACCTCCCGAGGGGTTTGGCCATACTGCAGTTCCTTCTCTTCCATTCTCTTCCTGGGATTTTGGGCATACAGGAACACATGCCCAGCATGATTTTCAGGCTGCCAGACCTGGAATTCCAACTGCATTAGGCTATTTGGAAGTCCAGTGTCTTAACAACTGTTCCATATGCTAACCCCATTGTTTTACATTAAAAAAATACATTTATTTATCTATCTACCTTATTTCTTGGGATTTTCAAGCCTCCCGGTCTGGGATATGAACCAGGTCAGCCATGTGGGAAACTACTGCCTTAATCGCCATGTCACCTGCTGGTCCTTCTTTTACATTTTTAAACGAGTTTATTAGCTGCAGTTAAGTGATGCTAGGAAATACCACATTCTTATAGTAAAATGTGCATTAATGTTGTGTGTGGAAATGTAGTATTTCTAAGGTATTAGCTTTTACCACCTCCTACATCTGATTGATCAATGCCTGATTGATCAATGTGCTTGCTCTTCCCAATAGCCTTCCTCAATTACAGTGAGTGAACCCAGGGGCAGAAATGAATCTGTGCCTCTTACTCTCATCAGGGAAAAGGGAACCTATGGAATGGTCACTGTGACTTTTGAGGTAAGTGTACTTTGAATTCATTTTAAAAGGTAACTCTTCAGAGTTACCAGATGGCTAGAATTAAGAAAATCAAAGTCCCTTTGTGTCGTAAGTATGATACTTAGTAAAAATAAAGGTAAATATTTTTGTTATCTGCTAAATCTCATGGTTAATAAAACAATGTTTTCCTTGCTGCATGCATACACTATGTTTATATAAAGCAATGTATCATTTTAGATAGGGGATAATAATTCACAAAATAGAATAATAATTTTTTAACTTTATTTATTATTATTATTTAATTTGCTATAGGGCATGTGCCTTCACTAGAGAGATAGAGAAATATGGAGAGAGAGAGAAAGAGAGAGAGATAGGGGAAGTGAGAAAGCAAGCTGCTACATTCAAGACTTGAACCTTGGTTGGCCGTGGGGAAGTCCAACACCCTCACCACCATGCCACCTGCCGGCCCCAATAATGTTAATTCTACAAAACAGCCTTCATGATAAATTTTCCAAGGATATAAATTTACAAAATACCCACAAATTACTTAGGCTTCTGTGAAATTATTTAAAATGTTGTCTTCTGCCATTATTTTCGGCATACTTACTGGGTGCTGTGAACAGCAGTTACACTGCCTCTTGGTGACCCACTGTTTTGCTACAGGATGTAGCATGAATCAGAGAGGCTGTGGGTATGTGCCCTTCCCAGGCGCTAGGCATAACCACGCCATTTCACTGCGTGCTGCCGCATGTCTACCATCGTGTCATCACATTGCTGTTTGATTTTCTATCTTAATAATTGTAATATTGGGACCAGCCTATGGTGTAGCAGTTATATCACTGGACTCCCATATGGCAGACTGCAGTTTGAGTCCTGGACCTGGTGGCTTGAAACTCATGATGAGCACATGTGCGTGCATGCCCAGGATCCCAGAAGGAGAATGGAGTGGCCATCCTCTCTGTGGTATAGACACCCTCCCTGGGGGGTTGATTTCTCCCTGTCTTTGTCTCTCTCTCTCTCTCTCTCTCTGGCAAGCACATGTGCCCTAAGGCAAAAGCCTCTAAAAAATTATTGTAATATCAAGAAAATGGATACTTGAGTTTATGTAACATAAATCTACTTAGGTATAGAAGAGTTTTGCTCATGCTCGTAGGTCTCTATATCAGAAGGTGGGTATGTAAATTACATAGTGACAAAATAGCATAAGGCAATAATGCATGAAAAACATAGAAAACACTAACTCGTAGTCTGGCAAATTCTGGACAGGAAGCCTTAGCAGTTTTTTTATGAACTTAGGACTACATATTTAGTTAATAAATTTTGAAAACATTTCTGATAACAAATATGGGGAAAATTACAAAATAATTGGCTATAGAAAGGATAAGGAATCCACATTATAGGGTTTTCAACTTGTCTTCGAATGTCTAAAGCTATTTCATTGGGTGTGTAGCCTTTTGTTTTGTTCAAATAATTCTAGGAAACATTTTTGTAGCACTTAATGTCATTGGCTGTTCTCAGTGCTTTACAGTGGTTGTTACTGCATATAAATACCCACAGTCCCCTAGCGCTCGGTCTCCTGCGTGCTCTTCTTAATTTTTCTTTATAATACTTATCCTTATCTGACACACCCATATTTATTTATCATTCATTCTTCCATTAAATGTAAGATCCACATGTAAGGGAGTTTTCTTTGTTCATTGTTTATATATATATATATTATATGGGACAGAGTGAGAGAGAGAGGAAAAGTGAGAAAGCAAGCCACCAGGTCCAGGACTCGAACCATGGTCGGTCATGTGGGAGTCCAGCACCCTTAACCACCACACCACCTGCCAGCCCTATTACTATATTCTAGTACCTAGAAGACGTTGGGCACTGAGTTCTCAATAATACTTTATATTTGTTTATTTTATGAAAGCTACTTTTAAAGATTTATTTAATTTTATTTGTTATTAGTATTTTAATTTGTCCAGAGAGAGACAGAGAAAGAGAGAAAGGGAAAGTGAGAAAGCAAGCCACCAGGTATGAGATTCAAACCACTGTTAGCCATGTGAGAGTTCAACACCATAACCACCATGCTACCTGCCAGCCCCAAAAGCTTTTAAAAAATTGCCTGAGGGCATTTGCACTTGCCAGAGAAGGAGAGAACGAGAGATAGAGAGAAGAAAGAGAGCCCCCAGTGAGGTGTGGTCACACTGCAATTCCTACTCCACTTATCCATCTTGTTATGATTCGGAGCACATGCATACATGCATGTGGTGTGTTCCTCAAGCCCGCAAGGCTGGGCTCAAACTGTGGTTGACCATGTGGGATCTGGCTCTCTTAACCAGTAGGCCATTGGGCTGACCCAATACTTTTTATTTATTTATTTTTTTAGAGAGAGATTTTTTTTGCTATAGGGCAATGTGTGCTTGCTGGAGGGACAGAGACAGAGAGACAGAAAGAGAAAAATCGCCCCCCCCCCCAAGGGCAATGGTCACACTGCAGTCCCTTCTCCATTCTCCTCTTGGGGTTTTGGGTATATGCCCACACACAAACCTGGTGTGAATTTTAAGCCACCGGGTTTAGGACTTGAACTGTATTTGACTACGTGGGAGTCCAGTAATATAACCATTATGCCATCTGACAGTCTCTGACAGTCTAGTATTTTTTAGAATGAGTGTTTTTATATTACATCTTCACATCTAGCCTGTGAAGTGGAAATTATACTCATTTCAAAGATGAATAAAATGCTACAGAGTTGTTAAATAATTTGCCCTAGGTCACACAGCTAATGGTGGAAATGGTGTTTGATTTTTTTACATAGGGAAACTTAATAATCTCGAATGTCCTTCTCCCATAAAGAAATATAGAGGTTTTTTTTTTTTTTTTTTTTTTTCCCCCCATATTAT